TCCATGTTAATATAGTCTTCAATACTTAATAGAGTGTAAGCATTAATTATACATATGTTGAAAAAATATATCAAACAAAATACTACTAAACACAAAGTTAATACATGCATTATTTCTTCTAATACATTCTATCAAACGAAAAAAGTATAGGTTGTACCTCATACATCACATTTTTTATTCTTTACACCTCCAAACATCTCTTATTCTAAGTTTTACATTAGGCTTTAGTCATATGCAACCTCTTAAAGTTATCCGCATATTTCATTTGAACACCTCAACTTATCTTTGTGTCTATTCAACACTTTATTTGTTCAAAAGTCATTCCTATTAGACACAAAATGCTGACATGTCAAAAAACGTGTGATACACTCTGTTTAGGTGCGTAAAGCTATTGAAATTAATATTTTTTCTTTTTTTTTTCTAACTTATATACCAAAAGTAATGAAAAGGGAAACAAAATATTAAATTTTTGAAAATGTAGTCTTCTTCCCCAACCCAAAATTACACCCCTGTGCTATTCTCATTCACCATCTTCATAATTGTTTTTACACAGGCGCACCTCACACCCCACCCCCTCCATCTCTCTTTCTCCACCCTTTCCCGTTCTTCTTCTTCTTCTTCTTCTGTTTTTTTCCTCTCTTTTTTATGTAGATCTACATCTTCAATATTCTGGCAAACATCCATTTATTTCGATGGAAAAAATATGAATTGATTTTTTTAGGCAAAAATTTGTTATTATCTATTGTAATTGTGATTAATGATTACTAATGAAAAAAAGATAAAGGTAGCGAATAGAAAGTTTTGATGCTATTCAAATGAAAGAAAATGGGTATTTCGCCATTGTTGATCCGTTTATTATAAATAAGAAAAAGAAGAAGAAAAGAGTGGTTGTTCTGATGGGTAGAAGGGGAATAATTTGGGTGGATTGGGCAACAATGTAACTATTAAAGTTTTTTAAAATTTTGAATCTAAATAATCTACCATTGTTAATTTATGATAAAGAAGAAGAAGAAGAAAAAAAGACGACGCCGGGGGGACTAAATTCTGATGGGTAACGTGGGAAGGTTTGGGTGGGTGGGTGGATATTTTTAGGGGTACAAAATTTTATTTTACTTTTATCATTTAAAATATATTTTTAAATAATTTTTTTGGATCCAAATGACACGTGTCATAATTTGATTCATCCTTGTGTCATGTCATCGCAAGTGTAACTCACACACTTAATATTTTGGATAATTGTCAAAAAAATGTCCAATAGGTATCAATTCAAAATGGTAAAAATATTCAATAGGTACAAGTCTTAATTGAGGTGTCCAAATAAAATATGATGACAACTTTAAATGGCTATAGATGACTTAAGCCTTTTACATTATCTATGACCTCATGGGCTCATATATTATGCATAGATTAACTGTTTACTGTCCACATAATCGAGTATTATAGTCATTAAAATTCACCGTTTCATTATTGTATACGTGTCTCAAAGTTAAGCTACAGATAAAAATAGTAAATTATCTCATAGCGTATATGAGCTAAGGCACCAAGGTGGGGCTCATGCCATCAATATGTCATTTTAATACTCGTTTCACCAAATTATTGGCTCAAATATCGATATTTGGACTAAAATAATCCAAAAATACTTTAAACATAGTGTGAATAATGTGATATGTTAGCTTTGGGTCAAGCCTCCTTAGTTTTAAACTAAATTTTATATGTACTTCGTTTTCTTTTTTCTTTTTATGTTTGATACAACAAAAAAATATAATTTTGAAGTTATTTATATATAATTTAGATATATATTATTAAAGGTGGAGTGGATTTGTGGGAGGGGGATGAGGACTACAAGGTTGGGTGAAGAAAGATGGGGTTTTTGAGAATGGAGAGTACAATTTAATAGAGAATGCAACGCGTAAAACTTTTTTCGCTTACTTTTCAAAATAAGTCAATTAATAAAAAAGAAAGATAGAAGAGTAAAAATATAAACCATGTGAAAATGAATAAAAATATCTTAATTAATATTTTTTTTGTCCAATTATAGTTGGACACTATTGATTTGATATACACCTTAAAAATAATAAATAATTGGGATAATAATACTGAATTATAGTACTCCTTGAATATATTAAACTTTATGCTTTTAGAAAATGTATTTGATATTTAATAGTATTTAATAACAAGAGTAAAATAGACACAAAAAAATAAATTATTTCTTGATTTTTTAAATTAAACAAATATTGTTGAATAATTATTTTTATTATAATAAACAAGTAAAGATGGACGGAGGGAGTAGTATAATTCAAAAATACTCCTACTATTTTTGACCATTTTCCATAAAAGACAAATTTAAACCGACTAAAAGATAAAGTGATTTGTACAAATTGGTACAAGAGTACAGTTCACACATCCACCTAAAAAAAATTACCCATGCTTTCACTTTATATATATACTAGATATGAAAGGGCCCGTTAACGGGCCCAATATTACAATCTTAAATATATTATTTTGTGACCAAATATTAAAATATATCTCCGCATCGTGGACTTGCTTCCAAACAGTGTTTTCTTGACCGTTTCTCATGATTAACTATCTAAAACTCATTTAATCATTATGATATCTTTCCTACCACAAATAATAACCTTGAATTTATAATTCAAATTCAAGGTAGAGCTAAGAGTTAAGTCTTGAGAGTTCTTTCGAGTCTTTTCTAGAAAGTCCCTTTGAGTCTTTTGAGGAGTCTTCTATAATTTCTAATAACTTGTTTCAAGACTCGAATAAGTGAGTATGAGAATGATGAATATGTATTCATGAGTCTACACTATCATTAATCATAACTCTTGAAATTCATAATTCAAAATTCAAATTCAAGAAAGAGCTAAGAGTAGAGTTCAACAAAATCTTTGAGTTCAATTATGAATCCTTTGAGATCAACTATTGATTTGAGCTAAGTTTTGAGGAAGTAAATATGAGAATGCGAAGAATCATATACATGAATTCCATATTGTTATTTAGACCCTCGAGTCGAGTCGTTCATGCCTATAAATTCCGCATGAACTTCATAAGTTGAGTATCTTTGAGAGGAGGAGTATCTTCAAGTTCTAAGTCTTGAGTATTGAGTTCCTAATCATTTAGGGATTATATTCCTAATCATGGGGCTACTACATGTTACCCATGAAGGTCCTTGAGTTGAGCAGTTTATGCCCATAATTCCGCATGAACCCTATGAGTTGAACAGTCTTGAGATGAGAGGTATCATTGAGTCCTTGAATTGAGTCATTCACGTCCATAATTCGGCATGAACCCTATTTTAAGAAGTCTTTTGCTAAACTTTTTTTAAATTTGTTTTAAGACTTGAGCATTTGAGTTGAGGAAGAGTAGAACTGAGTTCATTTTCTTTAAAATGATATATTGGAACTAAGTATTCTCAAGAGTAAATGTTTTTACATTTAAGATGAGAGGAAACTAAGATCTCCAAAAGAGTTTTGAGCAGTTTGAGTACCATCTCTTTTAAGAGAAAGATTTTTGAGTAATAATCTCAAAACACATAAAGAATTATGTTTTTAGAGAGAGAAAAAAATAAAAATTCCACTTAAGTATAGAGAAGATTTCTTTTTTTTTTTTTTTTTTTGGGGGGGGAATTATACTATTTGCTTGCTTATTAATTGTAAATAATATATTCAGTAATTAATAATTTATGTATTGTTGTAATCTCTACATAACTAAGTAATACCTACATAACTAATACTTGCATAACTGATACCAACATAACTGATACCACATAACTAAATCCTGCATAACTAAACCATGCATAACTAATATTTGCATAACTCTAACCAATAACCAAACGCCCCTAACTATATTATCCTTTTCAAAATTTTATCACAAATTATTTATTCTTATAAAAATGACCCCATTTTTTTAAAAAAACACATTCAAATAATCAAATATTATTTACAAAATCAATAACTTAACACAAGTTCAACTTAAAAAAATTAAATAAAGTGATTTTTTTTTTTGTAATAGTATGTGGTAGTTCTTATATGAGATCTAATCTATGACATTATACAACTATCTATTTTGAGATATTATTTTATTTAGTGCAATTTGATTGTATGTCTCAGGTAAATTAGTCAAATAATTTTTAGAAAAACCTAATATATAAATATATCTTTTAACTTGACTTTGTCTGACATCTATGACATTCAACTTAGAGTGTGCACAAGTAAGCACTTAAAAATTTATAAAGTTTAAGAAGTAGAAACACGCGTCCACGGGGAATAACACACGTAGGAGCCACATAAAATATCGCATAGGACGTGAATTATATTGTCATGTAGGACGTCAAGTAGAACACAAGTGTCAACTTGTTCAATTTTATACAAGATTATGTGTCTACTTATGAACATCTAAAATTGAAGGACATAAATGTTAGATGAAACCAAATTAAATGACATATTTATATATTATGCCTTTAGAAAAAGTATATTTAAATTCGAAATATTTTTTTGCATAAAATTTAACCAAACACGACTTCAACTATAATTTTTAAAAATAAAATAAACAGTATTTTTTCATGACCAAACCACACTCAGAAAGGAAATGATTTAAAGCCCTCAAATTTGAATTTTTGGTATGAAAAAATCTCATTAAAAATTATACATTTAAAAATAAAAATAAAAAAATTTAAAAATGTATCAGCTTGTAATTTGTATGTACAGGCTTTTGAAGTAAATCAATAAATGGGGTCCATGTAACTTTGCAATAATTTCTTTTACTCCTCCCAATGTATTAGTACACGTGTGGCCATTAGAATCCACAACTATTGACTTAGTGGTGGATACATTGGAATTACATAAATTTTAATTGGTTTTTCTGGAAATTTTAATACTTTATCCACAACGTACAATTAAACTAAAGCTTGAAATTTGTTTTGGTTGACAAAAATGCCTTTGATTGTCCTCTCTTCATCTTTCTATATAATAGAAATATACAATTAAAAAAAAAAAACTCTTGTCATTTAGTTAGTTGGAGTATTTCATTTCTTCTCCTCAAGCTTTAATTTCTCTAGCAGAAAAAAATAATGGTTCTCAAAAATGAACATACCTATGACAGAAGAAGTGAATTAATAGCTTTTGATAACACACAAGCTGGTGTTAAAGGACTAGTTGATGCAGGAGTTAAGAAAGTACCAAAAATTTTCTACACACCACAAGATGCATATTCAAATGATCCTGAAAAAAACCAATTCAGTATTCCTGTTATAGACTTAGATGGCATAAGTAAAGATCCAATTCAACATAAGGAAATCATCGAAAAAATACGCGATGCATCGGAAGTGTGGGGTTTTTTTCAAGTGGTAAACCATGGAATTTCTCAAAGTGTTTTGGAAGAAATGTTGAATGGTGTTAGGAGATTCTATGAGCAAGATACTGAGGTGAAGAAACAATGGTACACGCGGGATACCTCGAAAAAAGTTGTGTATAATAGCAATTTTGATCTGTTTAAGTCTGCATCAGCTTACTGGAGGGATACTACTTATTGTAATATGGCTCCACTCCCTCCTTCTGCTGATGAATTGCCAGACGCTTGCAGGTATATATAGTAGATGTTGAATTTTTCTAGCGTATTCGTGTATTTACTTATTTATATTTTGAATATCCTTACTGAAAATGCTGGCGGATTTCAACCATATTTTGAAATTTATGCCCAAAAGTTAAGTAGATGCATTTTCAGGGTGTTCAAACAAAGTTCTTGAAGCTTTCTTCCCAATATGATTTGTAGTGTTTCTGTTGTAAATTGTAATACTCTCTCCGTTCCAAAAAGAGTGATCTAGTTTGATTTGACACGAAGTTTAAGAAAAATATAGAAGGCTTTTGAATTTTGTGGTCCTAAATTAAAGTTATATCGAATGTACAAAATTGCCCTTTAATCTTGTGACCATAAAAATGCCACTCGAAAAGATGAAATTAAAATGTTACCGAAAAAGGAAAGAGATCATATTTATAAACAGAGAGTATATACTTCTGTGGGGAAAATTGGAACTTCTCTTGAGGTATAGCAAGGCTTAATAGTCTAAATGTCATTTGTAAACGTAATCAATAGTAGGGCAAGAGTTTTCAGTGATGAGAGTGAAAGAAGTAACACAAAGTCTTATGAACTGTTACATTATTTTATTTTCCTGCAGGGATATTCTGATTGAGTACACGGAGCAAGTGAAGAAGTTAGGTCGTTCTTTGTTTGAATTACTCTCTGAAGCGCTTGGTCTCAACCCGAGCTATCTGAATGACATTGGTTGTTCAGAGGGGCTTGCTGTTTTGTATCATTGTTATCCAGCATCCCCTGAGCCAGAGCTAACTCTTGGAGCTGGAAAGCATTCAGACAGTGACTTCCTCACAGTGCTGCTACAAGATCATTTAGGAGGCCTTCAGGTTATTCATAAGAATTACTGGGTTGATATTCCTCCTGTCTCTGGTGCACTAGTAGTAAATGTTGGTGAACTTTTACAGGTAATTGTATTTTATATATTACGCACTTGTGGCATAAACTCATATATCGTGCTTTTTATCGAGCCGAGGATTAATTGGAAACAACCTTTTTACCTGTCAAGGTAGGGATAAGGTCTGCATAAACTCTATTCTGACCTCACTTGTGGGATCACGCTGGGTTTATTATTGTTCTTGTTGTTGTTGCTCTTGTGGCATAAACTCATATAGAAAGCATATCATGTTTTTCATTGAGTTGAGGGTTTATCGGAAACAACCTCCTCTACCTCCTAAGGTAGGGGTAAGTTCTGCATAAACTCTATCCTCCTCAGACTCCACTTGTGGGATTACATTGGGCTTATTATCGTTGTTGTTGTTAATCTTGTGGCATAAACTCATATATCATAGTATATCATGCTCTTCATTGAGGCAAGAGTTTATCAAAAACAATATTTCTACCTCCCAAGGTAAGAGTAAAGTATGCTGTCCGCATACACTCTATCCTCCCCAGACCCAATTGTGGCCATTACAATGTTTTTGTTGTTGTTGGTGGTGGTGATGGTGCTCTTGTGGCAGGTTTCTTAGAAATGATTCAAAAATTGGGATATTTTTAGATTTGAATTTGAAATGTGCTAAACTCAGTTTTGTTGGAAAATTTGCAGCTCATATCAAATGACAAGTTGAAGAGCATTGCACACAGAGTACTGGCAAGCGGTGTTGGTCCAAGAGTATCGGTGGCCAGTTTCTTTACCACGGGTCATTCGTTATCATCAAGAGTTTATGGACCAATTAAGGAGTTGTTATCAAAAGATAATCCCGCGAGGTATAGGGAAACTAGTGTGAAGGACTATGCAGATCATTATAATGCAACAGGGATAGGAGGGAAATCTGCTTTGTCAGATTTTAGGATATGAAACGATTGTTAGTCTGCAACTGTTTGATCCTACAATCAGTTATATATGTAACTATTGTACTGAATTAAGTGTTATGAACCAAGTCCAACCCAATAGGAATACCAAGATCACACAAATAGTTGTTGGGCTGGCAAGACCTATTGGGCCGAGAACAAGCAATTGGGCCAGACTATGTTTGGGATTCGGGTTGATAAATACGACTTGGGAGAGCAAATTGGACTTATGCAAATTGTTAAAGAAAAGAGTGTTTCCTCTCATCCCCTTCTTAGTCTAAGCTTCTCATCCCCTTCTATCCATCTCTGTAATTTCTGATCTTCTCCCCCTTTTGATTACATTCTGAGTTTCGTTTTAAGGATCGCTAGTGGTTACTTGCTTGTTGTTTCCATTTCTCAATTGTATTTTGTATTGTCAACGATTATAATAGATATCCTCATTGTGTGGTAACTTGAGTTTGTTACATTAAGACATACAAGTGTGTCTACTGTTATTTTGATTAGGATTCTACTCATTATGGCCTACTTAAACATGAGAGTTTACTATACAAGTGAAGTCTCAAGTAGACAAGCAATGAACATGCATTGAAGAGTGAAGTGTTAGGGTTTTGCCTGATTTTCTTCTTTAGTTGAAGTTTATTTTTTCCTAAAGGAAAAGACAAAACATTATCATAAATGTTTTTATTTTTCATGAAAGAAAAATATATTCTTCTTCCATATTTGGTTTATTCTTTTCTTAGATGAAAAGTTTGAAGATCTCTATTCTCATAGCATAACACAAGAACATCCACAATGTAGACATTTAAGAGTTTAGTTTATGGGGAGATTTATTCTCTCAATTGTTCTAATATTTTTCTTTTATATTAGTTTTCGTATAATAATGTTATGTTTTTTAGTATAAGTTTTTGTCGTCTCATTTATCGATCATATGATTTGCAATTGTAAGTTTTCGCATAACGTCCTTATCACCTTCATAACCCAACATGAAGACCCTAAGAAAACAAAAATTCACATCAGATACATGACTTTAGATATGAGGTTGTAGATGACACAAATTACGGTAAGATGTTAGTAGTAGTATAGTATTGTCTTGTTTATCCTTCATTAATAGTAGTAGTAGTATTTCTCCAGTAATTTTTGTCCTCCGATTTCTTTTACATTCTACTATCTCTAGTACTTGGATTATTGCACTATCTTATTATAGTTACTCTTCCTTTTTTATCAAAATGGTTTGTCATGCTTTTCTTACCTTAGAAAATTATTATTACAAATCATTACTCGCTGCCGATCAAAATTAATTCCTAATTTGTCCAAACTTTTTCAATATCACCATATTTCCCCAAGTCTCACCTTGTAATATTACGATATGTGGATAGAAGAACAACACTTGTAGTGGCCTCCAACATGCTCAATATAAGTAACCCTCGAACATGCTCAAAATAAGCAGGGGTTCACTTTCGGGAGGCAATCAAACTGGCTATCCACTTGGCCCTCTACTATTTGATCCATATTTATTAAAATAACATTAAAGGAAAGCATATTAATATAACTTAATACACTCAATCTCAAAGAATTCATTTCCCAAAAGAGCGTGGTGTGGGGGTCTAAGTCCTCATGTGTGTTCTTGATAGTGTTGACTAATTATGTTCTTGCTTCATTATGGTCGTCACTTGTTCCACTACTAAAAAGACAATAAATACCGACCTAAAAATTACTGACCTCAAATAGAAGTCGGTAATTTCCGACCTCTGGAGGTCGATATTGTTAAAAAGAATAAAAAAGTAAAAAAACTTTAAAAAACCGACTACAAGGAGTCGGTTTTTATGAAAAATAAAGCGGAAAAATCAAATACCGACCTCTGGAGGTCGAAATTTTCCCAAAAAAAATGAATTACAATAAAAACTGACCTCTTGATGTCGGTATTAAATAAATCAATAAATAACAATATTTTATTTTTTCTCAATTAAATATAAAAAACAAAATTGAGAAATATTTTGAATTAATTTTATTTAAATCGTCTTCCGGAGGACGGTTTTGTGTAAAATAAAAAACAAAAGAATGATAATACCGACTTTCGGAAGTCAGTAAAATTAAATAGTATGTAATTAAATTAATTTTCATTAAAATATTTATATAGTGACTTCCAGAAAATTAATAAATTAATATTTTCAATTAACTTTAAATAAATCGTCCTCCGGATGACGGTTTTATATAAGTTCAAAAATAAATTAATATAAAATACCGACTTCCTTATGTCAGTATTATTTAATTAACATGACTACTTTTTATTTATCTTACAATTTAATGTGATACCGACCTCATGAGGTCGGTATTTTTTATTTAATCTAATTACTTTTAATAAACGCGACATCCGGAGGTCGATTTGTTTAAAATACTCCTATTAATCATAATTTTGCTATTGTGCATAATACTAAATTTTCATTTTATGAAATAGACAATAGAACATTGTAAAGTACTGTACAAAGCAAGTTCTATCAAGATTTTTACGTTCGATTTTGAATGGATGTCAAGTGTAGTGATCATACCGTAGGCACTGACATGTAAAGGATAATTCATTGGAGTATGAAATATGTTGATTATATACTCGTCGAGTAGTTTAACAAATCAAGTCTTATATATTAATGTTTCAGATATGAAATATATTATCAATTAAAGAAATACCGATGATCAATTTAAGGAGATTTATATATTAAATTTGATATTGATAAACTTATGTTGATCGATAAAATTAAATTTATATAATTAGGAGCTATATATATATAGGGGGAGTTTTTTGTCAACTCCAGTGGCCTTAACATTAAAATCTTTAATTTTTTCAACTGAGATATAGTTGAGGGTATAGATGTATCTGGTAAAGGTTAGATACTCTTCTATATATATATATTGTTGACACCCGATTTTGACCGACTTATTCGATTAAATACGTATTTTTAAAACATATTACGAGTTTTAAAATCTTGATCGATTTTGTCTAAAATTATATATTATAGTATCGCTAATTTACAAAATTATCAATTATTATTATTAAATTATTATATTTATCAATAGTTAAACTTGAAATAACTCCTTATTTAAATGTTTTTAAATTTACGTGTGTTTAATTTATATGAAAATATTTTAATATATGTAGTATTTTATTAATTGAATAGCATTTCCTTAATCTCTCCTTAAATCATTTAAATCATAACCTCTTTTGTTCAATTTGTTTAATTCTCCTATCCAATTCTATTTCAACTCCAGCCTTTCATATTCAATTTCATGTCAATTATGGCCAGTTGCTTATTTCAATTATAGCCTTTCAACACTTTTCAATTATAGCCTATGATTCAATTCAATTCTCAAAAGCCCCATCCTTTAATCTCAGCCATTCATTCATCCAAATCAACTACAAGATCAAATCTTGATCGTCCATATCATTCAAACAAAAGACTGAGATTAAATCTTCATTCTTATCTATTTTAAATAAACCAAAAGAACCAAAACCCTAAGGGCATCTCCAACCCAATCCTCTATTTTACTCTCCAAATATAGAGTTCTCTATTTTTTCAGACAACCAACTCCAACCCAATTCTCTATTTTACTCTCTAAAAATGAATCTTTTTCTCTCTCCTCAATATTATATTATTATTTCTATTTCATTCTTATTTTCTTATTTCATAATATAAATCCTTTATTTCTTTTTTCCCAAATAATTACTTTATATAATTTTTAATGTGATATAAAATTATTTTTTATTCTAAATTTTTAAATAACATAAATTGCAAGAAAATATACATTATGTGCGGATAGGTTTTAAAATTGCGTAAAATGAATTATAAATTCAAACACATGAGATGCATGTATTAGATTGTTGTATACATTATGTGCGGATAGGTTTTACTCGATTAATATCTACATATAATTTATTTATCTAAAATAACTTTGAGATAACTATGAGAATCTCATCCTACGATTAAAAATATGATGAAATTCATCCAATAGTAAAAATCAAAATTACATTCTATTCTATTTATCTACATAGTAATTTTATTTTATCTAGAAGTAATTTTTTGAGATAAGGATGAAAATATCATCCTATGGTTAAAAATACAGTGAAATCCATCCCATGGTGAAAATGAAGATTACACTATCCTATTAATATTTATAGATAATTTTTACTTATCTAAAAAAAAAATTGAGATAAGGATGAAAATCTCATCCAATGGTTAAAAATATAGTGAAATCCATCCCATGGTAAAAAGCAAAACTTAC